AAATTCAATCATAAAAAAGTTATATTTTAATTACAACAGACTCATAAAAACATGTTTGATAATTAATTGAAAATTAGATAATACAGTAATGCCGTGCTGCACAATCTGTAAATGGCTATAAGAAAATAGCTCAACGGTAAAATAACCGTTTCCACTATCAGGGAAATGATTCAGAAGAACCACAGCTGGAAAATTGCAGACGGTAGTTGGGTCTTACGGTTGGAACTACAATCTGAAACTACAATCTGATGGCACAATCTGAAACTACAATCTCATAGCACAATCTGAAACTACAATCTGATGGGACAATCTGAAACTACAATCTGATGGGACAATCTGAAACTACAATCTGATGGCACAATCTGAAACTACAATCTCATAGCACAATCTGAAACTACAATCTGATGGCACAATCTGAAACTACAATCTGATGGGACAATCTGAAACTACAATCTGATGGCACAATCTGAAACTACAATCTGATGGCACAATCTGAAACTACAATCTGATGGCACAATCTGAAACTACAATCTGATGGCACAATCGGAAACTACAATCTGATGGCACAATCTGAAACTACAATCTGATGGCACAATCTGAAACTAGAATCTGATGGCACAATCTGAAACTACAATCTGATGGCACAATCTGAAACTACAATCTGATGGCACAATCTGAAACTACAATCTGATGGCACAATCTGAAACTACAATCTGATGGCACAATCTGAAACTACAATCTGATGGCACAATCTGAAACTACAATCTGATGGCACAATCTGAAACTACAATCTGATGGCACAATCTGAAACTACAATCTGATGGCACAATCTGAAACTACAATCTGATGGCACAATCTGAAACTACAATCTGATGGCACAATCTGAAACTACAATCTGATGGCACAATCTGAAACTACAATCTGATGGCCCAATCTGAAACTAGAATCTGATGGCACAATCTGAAACTACAATCCGATGGCACAATATGAAACTACAATCTGATGGCACATACATAACCCTATGTTGTTTGGGAGGGTTTGGCGTGGACAGAACGTTAGCCAGGCAGTAAAGTAACTCAATATTAGTGGAGGGCCGTGTACATTCTAAAATGCTAAGATACACATAATTAAAAAGGTAAATCTAACAGAAAAAACTGTTGGATTGGATTTAAGGATGCTGTTGGAGGTGGTGTTGGAGGTGGTGCTGGAGATGGTGTACAGAATCGGAGCACATAAAACTAGGGTGTGTCAACACAGAGGTCAGAGATGTAGATTAAAAGTCTGGACGATTAATAAAAACATAAAAACAGCTCAGGTTTGGCTGTTCACTCAACCCAGAATCAAACAAAGAATAAGGTCAAATACGGTGTCACAAATGTCATTAGAGATACATGTTCTTCTTCCTCTTCCTCTCCACCTCCTGTCACTCTTCTTCGAACTCTCTCTCTCTAATGTTGTTAACCATTGTATCAAAATACAGATGTGCCTGGGACGTTTTTATTCATGCCAACTAATGTCTGTTTTTTTCTTAACTATTTTTGTCAAAAAAATGTGCACACTGAGCCCTCCCTAGGGTCCACACTGAGCCCTCCCTAGGGTCCACACTGAGCCCTCTCTAGTGTGCACACTGAGCCCTCCCTAGTGTGCATATTGAGCCCTCCCTTGCGTGCACACTGTGCCCTCCCTAGCGTGCATATTGAGCCCTCCCTAGGGTCCACACTGAGCCCTCCCTAGGGTCCACACTGAGCCCTCCCTAGTGTGCACACTGAGCCCTCCCTAGTGTGCATATTGAGCCCTCCCTTGCGTGCACACTGTGCCCTCCCTAGCGTGCATATTGAGCCCTCCCTAGTGTGTATACTGAGCCCTCCCTAGAGTGCACACTACCCATTCAGGGTAGGGAGCGTCCTAAATATCAGTCTACACAATTATTAAGTATTTATAGCTTGTGTGACTCCACTAATAAAAATGAATTATGTATCAACACAATGCCAGGTGAACGATTTGTAAAGTGATTTATTTCATTTTACGTTATGCATGTTTCACTCACCCGTGATCCAGACGATCTCAGATTTATTTTTCCATGCATCAATTTTTTTAATAAAATCTCTATATGAAGCCAGAGACCATTGGTAAACCAGAATCTGCAATAGGAGGTTTTTGTTTTGAGATAGCGAGCGTATTTTAAGCTAGCGAGTATAAAAGAAAAGGGACTTTTAGATGCGAAGAACATCTACCCTGCCAATCGCAGACTCCGTCACTGCTCGCTGGAAATTAGCATAAAGTTAAACATATCTCAACTATCAAATGTCGCTGCCGCTGGGAGATTTTGCCTATGAGCGTAGCTCCGCCCACTGACGCAGAAATCCGCTGGCTCCCGTTGGAAACGAATGGGGGCGTGCCTCTTTGTAGCTGTTGCGGGAGTACAGAGTGCACACGGTAAGTCCATAGCTATTGTATCTGTGTTCAAGACCCCAACAGCCCAGCAGAATGGAATGAAAAAAAGTAACTATCCAATAATGAACATCTAGGAAAGACGGGCTGATCTCTGGACACTGAAATACTAGTGAACAACAGGTGATTGTGGGTAATGGTGTATGTACTGAACAACAGGTGATTGTGGGTAATGGGGTATGTACTGAACAACAGGTGATTGTGTTAATGGGGTATGTACTGAACAACAGGTGATTGTGGGTAATGGTGTATGTACTGAACAACAGGTGATTGTGGGTAATGGGGTATGTACTGAACAACAGGTGATTGTGGGTAATGGGGTATGTACTGAACAACAGGTGATTGTGGGTAATGGTGTATGTACTGAACAACAGGTGATTGTGGGTAATGGTGTATGTACTGAACAACAGGTGATTGTGGGTAATGGGGTATGTACTGAACAACAGGTGATTGTGGGTAATGGTGTATGTACTGAACAACAGGTGATTGTGGGTAATGGTGTATGTACTGAACAACAGGTGATTGTGGGTAATGGGGTATGTACTGAACAACAGGTGATTGTGGGTAATGGTGTATGTACTGAACAACAGGTGATTGTGTTAATGGGGTATGTACTGAACAACAGGTGATTGTGGGTAATGGGGTATGTACTGAACAACAGGTGATTGTGTTAATGGGGTATGTACTGAACAACAGGTGATTGTGGGTAATGGGGTATGTACTGAACAACAGGTGATTGTGGGTAATGGGGTATGTACTGAACAACAGGTGATTGTGGGTAATGGTGTATGTACTGAACAACAGGTGATTGTGGGTAATGGGGTATGTACTGAACAACAGGTGATTGTGGGTAATGGGGTATGTACTGAACAACAGGTGATTGTGGGTAATGGGGTATGTACTGAACAACAGGTGATTGTGGGTAATGGGGTATGTACTGAACAACAGGTGATTGTGGGTAATGGGGTATGTACTGAACAACAGGTGATTGTGGGTAATGGGGTATGTACTGAACAACAGGTGATTGTGGGTAATGGGGTATGTACTGAACAACAGGAGATATAATGGGGTATGTACTGAACAACAGGTGATTGTGGGTAATGGGGTATGTACTGAACAACAGGAGATATAATGGGGTATGTACTGAACAACAGGTGATTGTGGGTAATGGGGTATGTACTGAACAACAGGTGATTGTGGGTAATGGGGTATGTACTGAACAACAGGTGATTGTGGGTAATGGGGTATGTACTGAACAACAGGTGATTGTGGGTAATGGGGTATGTACTGAACAACAGGTGATTGTGGGTAATGGGGTATGTACTGAACAACAGGTGATTGTGGGTAATGGGGTATGTACTGAACAACAGGTGATTGTGGGTAATGGGGTATGTACTGAACAACAGGTGATTGTGTTAATGGGGTATGTACTGAACAACAGGTGATTGTGGGTAATGGGGTATGTACTGAACAACAGGGGATATAATGGGGTATGTAGCGGCTGTGGCCCTCTGAGTTTTCTCCAATTACAGGATAGTGGAACAGGATGTGTGAGGGAGTGGACTAACCTTTCAAATGAATAAATGTGCGGGGTTAGCTGCAACAGGAGATAAAAAACGGGTTTGGTTCTTATAGAAATTATGCAATGTATGATATTATCTATTCACATACACGGGTGAATATGTCTGTGTTCTTCACAACCAATGTCAGAGCTGATCCATCTTTGTTAAAAAATTAAGAGCAGAGAGATATGACAGAGATGAAAGTCACATCAAGGAAGAGAAAGAGATGACTGGTAAGAAGAAATGACAGACAGAGAGAGAGAGAGTTTCACAACAATAGTCCACCGACAGACATGTAATCTCTTCACTGGGAAACAAGTAGTCTACATTTCCTATTTCTACATACAGTTAATATTAGCCAATACCCTTATAGAATATAGGATTACATTTATTCAGGTGACGAAAAAGGGAAATTGAAAGCTGTGGTCAGAATCTATCTAGCCTGATTTTGTTTAATAATTGAGGTATTTGTTATTACATTACATGGTCAGAATATTTCTGAAATGATCTCTGACTGTCATTCAGAAGCATTCCCTTGTCTTTGCATAAAGTCCTCAGTCAGCGTTCTGCACTTTGCTCTGTAAGCGAACAAAAAACCTCAACTTTCCTCGGCCGGAAACACCCCAGAAAATCATAGAACCTCCATCATAGCGCACGAAAAAGAAACAGATCTTCTTAGAGAGTAAGATTTTTGCTGCAGCTAAATTAATATAAACATGTAATTGAAAGGTAATAATAAATGAAACCTGCAAGCAAAATAATTGCACATTAATACCTTTTTACAAAAAAGTACAAACAGCTAGCAAACAAATCTGTCAAAAAAAATGGTTGTACGTGAATGAATACGATTGAAATACATAAAAACATAAAACACATTCTGATGTCTGTTCTTTAAAACAGTCTGTTGAGAGCATTGAAAACTTGAAAGTGTTGTGACATACAGGTAGCGATATACATTATTTGGCTCAGATTCAATCTTTAATACACTCCTGTATTGCTTAATCGGAAGAGCACTGCAGTCTCAAGGCATCGCTTGTGGGTTTGATTCCCACGGGGGGAGTGTGTACGCACTACTGTAAATCACGCCATCGATGAAAGCTGCTGCCTGATAAAAGTGCATATACAATATGAAACCTAAGATGTTGAGTTTTAGAAAAATTAGTTTTAGAACAAATGTCAATTAAACTCACTAAAATAACTAATATGTAGAAGGGTCTTTATGCACACAGTACAAATTTAAATTTCACCGTTAACCATTTTATCACATTATTATGATGATTACAACAGTGTTTTTTTTAAACGCTATGACATCCTATCGAGCCTATAACGGATCAATTTTACATTTTATCTTTTTTATAGCATCCTCTGATCACTGGTATATTGATAATAATCTACAACTTAGATTTGGTAAGGAGAGTTCAAAATTTGAGTAAGAATTATTTTAAAGTATTTGGTTATTGTTCGGTGCTAGCAGATGTATGTAGATGAGTTATGATGCACCTGGACTATTAGCAGTAAATGAGGGGAGCTACACTATTTAAAAAGCTCCTGAAATACAATTACAGCGATTTTTGCAGTTTTCAATTAGTGCATAATCTTTTGAGAGGTAAGCCAAGTAAAGGTAAAGATGGCTATCTGGGACTTTGAGTCTTTTTTGAGGGACCACTCACTATGTGCCTTCTTGTTGAGTGTGTCAAATCTTTGATGACAGAGAACCCGAACCATTTTGTCAGTGTTACCATAATCCAATAGTGACAGTACTGACGCGTGTTTTGTTAAATGTTTTATTAAATATTATAAGCAACCCCACATTTTATCAGCTGTTTAAGAATGCAACTGAACATATAACACAAAGTTGCTAGTTATGTTTTAGTGCCGAGGTACCAACCACAAAGGGGTGGAGGCAGATGTGCCCAGAGTGTGTCACAGGGTTTGTGTCTGTGTGTATGACGGTGTGCGTGTGAACGTGTAACCGTAAACTGGTGCAGATGAGGCTCTGAAAGGACCCTCACAAAACAAAGAACGGTCTGATGCCAAACTCACAGAGACTCAAATGTACCTCCATCATTCCCATCCCTCGAGCACTTTACAAAGTCGCTCGGTCGACCCCTCAAGTAAAAATCTATTTTCACCTGACTGAAGGCGTATGGACACTTTCCCGACCATAAACGATCTAAATGTTGACATGACAGAATACACCGGGTGAAAATGCTTGCTTACACGCTGTTTTTGTGTAGTATTTGATGAGCCAGCTAAGGCTTTAAAGTTGTGTTCAGACAGTCTGATTAGATTGGACAGATAGATTGGGACAGATGGATTGAAAAAATTTTTGGGGGGAAAATTTACTAAACGGCTACACAATAACCATGTAAAGATTAGTGAATAATTAAAAATAATATTACAATAAAAAACGTAAAATACCCTAATTGGATAAGTGAACACCCCCTGAGCTAATACTTGTTGGAACTACCATTTGCTTGAATTACAGCCATAAGTCTCGTTGAAAACTTATAACTTAACTCTTATAACTATAACTCATTACTTTGCACACCTTGACAGAGCAATATTTGCCCATTCGTACATAATTGTTCAAGCGTAGTCACATTTCTTGCTGTCTGCTTATGGACTGCACTATTTAAGTAATTCCACACATTGACAATATAAGTCAGCTTTTTACAATTATCACCTTATCTTGTTAATACCATATTTTCTCCTTGACTTCAAAGACATTGTTATTAATCTGTTTATCATTCTCAGAAACTGTTGCGATTGGTAATGAGATAACATGTAAACAATGTAATTTAAGTCTTTGAAGCATTAGCAGACAGAACACAATCATTTCAGGACTATGTACACAACCACAGTAATGACACCTAAATGTCATATCCACTTACTAACCAATATGATGTGTCAAACCCCACTGAATTAGTTTCAAACCAACATAAATTATGTGGACTTAATTCACGATTACAGCCTGAAGCAAAATGTATTCAACCATTTTTTTAAATCAACGCCGGATTTGCATGTTTTGTGTATATTTCTTTGAGTGTTTATATATTTTTGTGTAAAGTTTAATTTTATTTAAAGGAAATAGTTTACAACTGCCAGATTACAAAAAAGGCCTGTAAATTAGAGGCCACAGTTTGGTTCTGACAGCTGTTGGCTCAAATCCTGTTAGCACCATACATTTTAGAAAAAACATATTTGAAAAGTGTAATACTTACAGATGGAAAACGAGGAGAAAACGAGGAGAGCAGCTACATTTCCAAAAAAACTTTGTTAAACAAGTTTTTAAAAGAAAACTTACCGTTGGTAAAAATAACAGACAGGATGATTAAGATGCATAATAATAATAATTATGGCAAAACGATCATATACAGTGCCAGTCAAAAGTTGGGATACACTTGAGTAAGTGTCAAACTTTTGACTAGCACTGTACATATTATGATTTTATAAGTATAGAAATAAATATCGCCATGTCATAAAGGCAGGCGAGACGTGTCGCTACTGCCAAAGGCTACTGGTAGAAACGAGGGAATACGGAAGAAGAATGAGGAGAAAAAATCCCAAAGATCCAAAAATGTGTCAACACAGAAAGTACAGTAAATATTCACACACACACAACACACACACACGCACACACACACAAATATGTTACTGTATAGAGTAACTGAAATTAAATCAAGGCCATCACACCTACCTCGCATCATCTTCACTCCTCCACTGAGTCTTCTTGTCCCACTTTCACAAAGGCTATTTAACTTAATCTCAACCTCCACTTCACACTGTTTGTTTACGTGTAACAATCTCTCGCTTTTCTCAAGGTCCTGACTTCTCTGTCCTTTCTCTTACGGAGTGGCTGTCATTGTACATATCGCACGTTTGGCCCCCCTGCGTTTGTCAGTCACTCAGTGTATGCGTTTCTACGTGTGTGTGTGTGTGTGTGTGTGTGTGTGTGTGTGTGTGAGAGAGAGAGAGACAGAGAGAGATAGAGAGAGAGAGAGAGAGACAGAGGGCCTTTCCCCTATCTCTCTCGTACGGTACTTTTGCCCTACTGTTACCTACTCAACATCAAAGCCTTAACCACTCTCCGTCCCCACTATTCTCTAACCCCTCAAATTGAAATACCAACTAGACGTATTTAGCAGTAAAACTCCAAACGGTTCAGGCAGCGCAGACTAACAGAATAACTAGTCAATTAAGCACGGACTGACTTCTGAAACAGACAACAATGAAAGAGCAAATTAACTTCAAAGGGAGAACAAGTGCAGCGAGAACAGCCCGCCATTTTCGATTGTCTACCCGCACCCCGAATAACCAGGTGTTATCGAGAGTGGCGAAGACAGCCTAGAAACTCCACAACATGTGAAAAAATAGGCTATCTGGTGACATCTGCTTCCAGGCGCCAGAATACCGATATAGAATTTGCCTTTAAACCTGAATGTTGCAGAGTGGTGTACCGTAGATGGATACACAGGTGCTATAACGCTGATGGCACCACAAAGACCCGTGTGTGTGTGTGTGTGTGTGTGTGCGTGTGTGTGTGTGGCAAAGTACAGGTGCAAACCTGTGCAAATACTCACGACCCCGGGAGTAACCACACTGCATGCAAATATATAACTAGCACACATATAGCACATTGGCATGTGGCGCTGGGCGTGTCGATCAACATGTGATGGTACCGACTGCAACATGTCAACAAGCAGACAGCGACACTTACTTAAAGGAGTCTTCCTGGGGACAGAGCCTCCTGTGGAGAGGGGAAGAGCCGTTAGATTCAGCATTAAAGCGTTAGACACCATCTCTCACGTCCAACGACAATGGTCAACGGTAACGTAGGTTTAGGAACTGTAAACTTGTTCACATTATGGGTTGGCTGTCGGTCTCACACACACACACACACACACACACATGCCAAAGCTGCCGGCTGCAGAAGTGTGTGGCCCAGGGCATGAGCCGGGATGGTGAGACACATACATACACACACACACACATACACACACACACACACACACCAACAGAGGTTTGTGGGCCTCTGTTTACAGTCATTACAGTATCTTACAGTATCTTACAGTATAGAGGTGATGTTTAATATGCTTATCTTACAGTATAGATGTGATGTTTAATATGCTTATCTTACAGTATAGATGTGATGTTTAATATGCTTATCTTACAGTATAGAGGTGATGTTTAATATGCTTATCTTACAGTATAGATGTGATGTTTAATATGCTTATCTTACAGTATAGAGGTGATGTTTAATATGCTTATCTTACAGTATAGAGGTGATGTTTAATATGCTTATCTTACAGTATAGAGGTGATGTTTAATATGCTTATCTTACAGTATAGAGGTGATGTTTAATATGCTTATCTTACAGTATAGAGGTGATGTTTAATATGCTTATCTTACAGTATAGAGGTGATGTTTAATATGCTTATCTTACAGTATAGAGGTGATGTTTAATATGCTTATCTTACAGTATAGAGGTGATGTTTAATATGCTTATCTTACAGTATAGAGGTGATGTTTAATATGCTTATCTTACAGTATAGAGGTGATGTTTAATATGCTTATCTTACAGTATAGATTTGATGTTTAATATTCTTATCTTACAGTATAGATTTGATGTTTAATATGCTTATCTTACAGTATAGATTTGATGTTTAATATGCTCATCTTACAGTATAGATGTGATGTTTAATATGCTTATCTTACAGTATAGATTTGATGTTTAATATGCTCATCTTACAGTATAGATGTGATGTTTAATATGCTTATCTTACAGTATAGAGGTGATGTTTAATATGCTTATCTTACAGTATAGAGGTGATGTTTAATATGCTTATCTTACAGTATAGAGGTGATGTTTAATATGCTTATCTTACAGTATAGAGGTGATGTTTAATATGCTTATCTTACAGTATAGATTTGATGTTTAATATTCTTATCTTACAGTATAGATTTGATGTTTAATATGCTTATCTTACAGTATAGATTTGATGTTTAATATGCTCATCTTACAGTATAGAGGTGATGTTTAATATGCTTATCTTACAG